CGGATCACTGGTATCTAAGTCTTCCGCTGTGTTATCTTGTACTTTGTATTGAAAGGTCGGTTCTTGTTCTGGTCTGCACGTTACAGTATGCAACATGTCTCCTCGATGGAAAGTCATGTCTGTTCGGCAACGAGTCAAAGGCCACAGTCCCAGTCCAGTCATAATCCCACGAGTGTTATGAACATGATTGTCTGATGAAATTTTATCAACACTCACTCACAGGAACTCCCGTACACGCCCATACATGCACAGAAGGAAGGGGAGAGGTAGTGGAGGGTCACACCACTCAGAAAAGAAAATGCAGCGGAAGACTCAGAGAAGCGAAGTGACAGAATACACAATTCAGTGAATTCTCTCCACAGAAGTCCCAACAATCATTCATCGAAGACAACCGAGCGATCACAGCCAAAAATCAATGAAGAGATGACAACTGAAACACAGTATTGCAACTGTTTATTAACTTAAGAGCATCGTTTTCACTGAATAACCTTAGAACAGTGTTGCGCTACCCTCAGAGGGGTAGCGCCTCAACTCCACCACCCGGAACAGCTAAAAATAGCACCGAAACCCCAGGTAACACCCAGTGCCACCCTGACATCCAACTCAGTGGCCTGCGCCAAAGTGAAACAGGCTCCTAGAGCCAATCGCCACCCAGAAGATGAAGAAGAAGCACAGCGCCAACAGTCCCTGATGAAGATGAAGTCCAGATGATGATATCCTCTGAGAAGATGCAGCTATGGCTGCATCGCCACTGGGACCCTACTCATGAGGAGGGTCAGCAGTGCACCACGTGCTCCAAGGCATCAGACCTCTGATAGCCCAGACCGCTTTGACTCCCAGAGAGTCAGAGCGGACAGCGTTGACCCCAGCCTGGTCAGCGCTCCGAAGGTCTGGCTATGTCCGCCGTCTCCACCACAGGAATCAGCAACCACGACCTGATACCGTGTGCGCAGCAACTTCCACCACGAAGTGTCAACTGCCAAAAGCCCAGGACCGATGTCCCCATCCTATCTATACTCTAACACTAGCCTAGACTGACCTAGACCGGACTGACTGACCGATCGGTACCGTTTCTGTTTCGGCCTCTAGGGCCTCTCCCTACCCGGCTACAGGCTATAGGACCGTCTATCAGCATAGGCCCATAGGGCCTCTGTCCTAGGGGTAGCCCGGGTCCTCTATTCGCAGTTAGGGTAGTTGTAGGAAAATCGAGTTAGTACTGGGCCCATATTTCTATATTTACAGATATGTCCCTCACGGATTTTCCATACAGGCAGGTCTCTAGGTTAGTCCTCAGCCAAAAGATTATGAATCTGTCCCTAACCATAGTACAGCCTCGTCATAGTGAGGCTACAGGCAACCTGGAACCAGCAAGTCATTGCACGAGTCAATCCTGATTCAGACCGGGAGTCCAAAAGACAGGCCCGATGGCCCAAAGCAGCACCAGACCATGGGAAGTGATACTGGGACACACACTTTGCAACAAAAGGTACTGGGCAGGAGTCTGAGGCACACTTGAGGCTGAACGCAGGCCACGCCAGACCAGTCCAGCACTATAAAGGACTGGCCAGCCTCCCGTTTGGCAGATGCTCATCTCGCATGAGAGTGTGGAAGTGCCGTGGCACTTGTGCACCAGATGTGTGCGAGCTGCGCTTAGCTGAGAGCAGCGCTACGTGTGAGGAAGAGGAGAGGGGCGCCGACTGGAAGGCAGGCAGCCATAGCTGCGCCAGCGCCAGTTAGTACATTAGTAGGGATAGTTAGTAGAAGAGTTCAGTGAGTAGTATTCAAAGTAGATCCTCGTGTGATAGGGAGTGTGCGTGCATGATGAGTGGGAGTAGACCAGGACAATAGACATAGAGGGAGAGAGAGAAGAAGACAAACGAGAGAGGGGGAGGTGTGAGCTATGGTGACACCTGTTGAGCACTGTTGTTGAAGTTTGGCAGCTGGCGCTGATGAGCGCCAGGCTTGGAACTCATGTTGATCGAAGAAGACTTGTAACTTTGTTCAGCGCTATACATTTTGGACTCACGAAATTCCTCTCTTAATCTGGTTATGAAAATTGAGTTGAGCTTCCTGGTTCTCATTTCATCTTCTATTGGGTTTTGTGTGAGACATCGCAATCTGTGAAATCTGTGTATATGCATGTGATCTGATGCACTCCAGCAAGTGATGAACAGTCGGGTTCCTTGCAAATGTGCGATAGCCCATGCAGTATGCCTCATTGAATGTCTAAGGGCCTTGCCAGGCCACCACTCTGTCTCAGGCCGAAAGGGGAAAAAGACCCCTATGTGGATCCAGGGCCTGAGCGGGTGACACTTGATCAAAGTCAACTGCCCGAGGCCAACAGTCAAAGTTAAAAGTGGACGCAGCCCAGGCCGCCGGTCAGACGCACACACTTGTTTGTATGCAGGTACCCAGACAGTATCAGGACCAAGTGGAAGTCTGCAACTGTACACAATCCAGGCCCTCGGCTGCGAGTCAATCTGCATGACTGTGGGTGGGAGACCTGAGGCCAGACTGCCTCGTCAAACACTATATAAGGCTTGGTCCCCAGGAGGTCAACATTCAGTCTTGCTATGCTGCATTGACGCTGGCTCAACGCTGGCTGGACGCTGGCTTGATGCTGGCTCAACGCTCGCTGGTCACTGGCTTGACGCTGGCTGTGTGCTAGCACCGTGGACGACGACGCGGGACTGTGGCAGCATGATGGTGCCTTCTCTACTGAGAGCTAGCATCTGCTGATGTGGCGCATGCCAACTGTCTTCATTTCTGATATGGCGTATGCCACCTGTCTTCATTGCTGATGTGGTGCATGCCACCTGTCTTCATTGCGGATGTGGTGCATGCCACCTGTATTCATTGCGGATGTGGTGCATGCCACCTGTCTTCATTGCGGATGTGGTGCATGCCACCTGTCTTCATTGCTGATGTGGCATTGGCCACGCTGTCTACATGAGGTGATTGGTCGCAACAAGGAGGGAGATCGGGTCTGTGGATGATTGAGGAATGGGATACTTACCTGAGGTTGACGTCGACATTGTGCGCTGCTGAATGCATCCATTGCCTTCACGAGAGAGCAGTGCCGCGTGGCACTTCTATGTGATCAGGACTTGGCAGACTCGTTTCTGGATACTGTTTGATGACGTGGAGGCGAGGGGAAGCCCGGAGAAGAAGTGGGTAATGTTGGGATACTCTCCTGGTGGTCATTGATTCTCTCTTCCACCCTCTTACTGTCCATTCACCCTCCACTCTCTTCGTCTACTGTAACGAGACATTGTATCAGAGATCACATATATGATTGTTGGAGATGTTATCCAGATCTGAGTTATCTTGCATTTCGACGTCTCATGAGTATCTTCCAGTCTGGGTTCATTACAATTTGGTATCAGAGCATACGTGCTTCGTCCCAATCTGCTGTCAGGCGCCATGAGGCGCGCAGGTAAGTGGGAGGTGCCGCACGTGTTAGGGACGAAACATATTTATCAACGTGCGTGAGTAGTCACATGTTTAGACATTGAGTACCGCACCTCCCTTGAAGGTGATGACGTGGACACTCTGAAGAAGAAGACGGCGACATTGCTTATGTGGTGCTTTGTTGCTGACGTGGCACTTGGATACCGGCGAGACCATCGTTGGCAACAGGCTGGCGTGGCGCTGGTGAAGAGAGAAACAGTGTGGATATTGGGATCGCTAACGTGGCGCGCTACCTACGTGGCATGACATAGGGGTGCTGAAGTGGCATTGTAATATTGGCAGGGGCATTGTTTGACGTGGCACGTACCTGTGTTGCGATTGCCTGCTGACGAAGCGCTCCACACTTTAATCTGATGTGGCATACCAGTGTTGGATGTGTTTGCAGACCGTGCATTGCTGACGTGGCATCCCCCTCGAAGACCTTCTAGGTCATTGGCGCTGACATGGCAGACTTTGTAGAGCTACTGTGTTGCATTCTAGGGGTGACACGTGGCATGCTTGCCACGTTGCTGTGGGTGAGGTGTTGATCTTGCACTTGTGTGCTGGCAGACGGTACGGTTTCACGATTTGTTGTACTGTCACGTGCCGGCCCTTGTTTCTGGTTGCATTGGTTTTGTAGATGTTACAGCTGTAGAGGAATGCAGGTTGGCAATTGATTGTTGTTGATTGTGTTGGCTGACCTACTCACTTGTTTGGCTGTTTTGTGGTTGTTGTGCATACTCACTTGTGTGTTGTTGTCTTGATCACACTGGTGGTGGCTGCGGTACCTGCACACTTTCTGTAGGACGTCATCACACATAGAACAGAGCAAAGTTCGAAGTAGAAATAAATTGAGAATCTGGTTCTTCTTATATGCCTTTGATTATTTCTTGCTGTAGGAAAATTGTGTGTGGCTGTGGAATTTATTTCTGTCTTTGAAATTATTTATTGTGGAGCATTCACACGCTGGGAAATACGACTTGATCTTTGTCGGGAAATATGACTTATCTTGCTGTAGGAAAATTGTGTGTGGCTGGGAAATGTATGCGTGCCTCCATTCTCACGTGGTATATACCTCTTTTCCTCTTTCATATCCCTCTCACCGTCTATGCCAATGAGAAGGGGGGGGAACTCGGAACTCGTGGTCAGATTGATGCAAGAAGGCAGACCTTGTTAGGCCTTCTTCGCCAGTTGCTCGGCAAAATACACGGTGTCGGACGAGAAGTTGAACGGCTGGTGTACGGACAGTTTAATCTGCGTGCTGCAGAAGGTGAACTGGAAGACGCTCAGACAACCGTCCTGATGCTGGAAACCGGAACGAGAGTCGAGGAGCTCATCAAGCAAGGGCGAATAGCCCTTGACCGTTATGTCGCTGAGTCTGGGAAAAGATGGACCGAAGAAGAAAAATGAAGGAAGAAGAAGGAAATGAAAAAACAGAATTGTCTGTAGAAATTATGGAGGAAAATGTCAGGCAACTAGAAAACACGTTGAAGGAAGAAAGAAGGAAGATAAAAGAATTCTGGAGAAAGAAAGAAGAACGAGAACAGGAAGAAAAAATGATGGATGAACTAAGGCAGAGATTCCATTATGAAGAAGCAGGCACTGAACTTGCATCCATTTTGCAGTCTATAATGGTTTATCTAGTCCACCTTGAGAAGAAGATAGATAGCAACACTTCCGCATTGGAGACAGTGACCAAACTTCTTAAGGGCAAGGACAAGGTAAGGATCGAGGAGGAGACCCGGGGGGAGGAAGTAAAGAGAGAACCTCAAGAAGAACTCATGAAGGATGCACTAAAGAAAGTCGCGCCGAAGAAACCGGAAGGATCCAAGAAGGAACGCGAGAAGCCGGCAGAGAAGAAAGAGGAACCCGCCAAAAAGGAAGAATCGGCCAAAGAATTAGAAAAAACGAAGAGGAAGGAAAAGGTGAAAATGAAATTACCATTCACATACAACTGTGAGGCACAAGGCCTCGGTATGCCCTACTGGGCCCTGCCATCTGTAAGGTCGCCGGCCCTAAGTGAAGGCAGCCCCCTAGGCCTATTTTGGACTATCACGCAACTTGGGAAAATTCGGGCAGTTGTGCAGCGCCAGTTGGTTGAGAGCGCCCAGGCCCAGGCTGCCTTTCTCGTATGTAACTAAGGCAGGCCCTGGGAGTTGGGCACGGGTAACCACCACAGGCCCTGTGACTCAGTTACCGGAAGCTTTTGGACCGAGGCCCAGTGCAGGCAGGCCGCACGCAGCAGGCAGGTCACTTCCATTTAGGAAAGTGCCTGGCCCAACACTCCTCATTCGGGCACTCGCTTCATGCTGCGCAAGCGCTGCTGGCCCGCACTCAAGCGCTCACGGGCGAGCTGGATGAGCAGGCAGCCATAGCCGAGCTGCGCTGTTGTATGCTGGATGAGGCACATGGTGGTCCTTGGGTGCATGTGGCATCTGTGAGTGGGGGGATCGAGGTTGTGAGTGATACGAGAGACATACCTGGTGCTTGAGGCGAACGACATTGGCTGAGATCTGCTCGTACTTCGGGGAGTTGTTGACGTCACCAGTGACATTGTAGATTAGGCAAGATAGGATCTGCCATTTGTAGTCTGGGCGCATGTCGACATTGGTTCTTTGTTGATGATGATGAGACTATTCCAACATTGTCACATATGAGTTTTTGATGTGCTCTTATTTGGTGAAACTCATGTTGCAATTCTGCTTTTTGGCTTGAGGTCACGACTATCTGGTCTCATGTGTATGATGCTGCTTGGCGCTCATTCTCCTTGCAATTTGGTATCAGAGTTGTGGTACGTTACGCTCATCTGGCGCTCGTCTTCTTCCTATGAGGCACATGCATGCGAGCGGCTGTAGGGAGTGTATAGTGAGGAGGGCGAAGATAAGCAGGCGACCCAGGTGGAGAGGGGATCGCCAGGAAGGCTACGTGGTGTATAGTGGGTGTTTCTAGTGTGATGAGAACTATCTGATGTGCGATTGATGCTGAGGTGGAACGGCGGTGTAATGCTGGTTGTGCCGAAGGAGCAATTGGTCATCACAGTCGGCATCAGGTCATCTGGTGAGACCATCTGTGGTTGGGGGCAGCTATTTGAGGTACGTTGCAACTAACCTTATCTACCCTCTTCGACACTTTTTACCGTGAGGATGTGTGTTTCGTCTTGAGAGTCCTCTCATGTGAGGAGTCCAGTGCGCGCAACCTTGAGAGTCGGCATTGTTCACGTGGAGCATCTGGAAGGACAAGGCGGAGCTATCTAAAGGGCCCTGGACGAAGCAGTGGGTCACAGTCACCATGCCAACCCACCGGGAGTAGAGCACGCATCCTTTGCTGCTTTGTCCTTTGTTTGCTTGCTACGCTAATAGATGGGTTATGAGGGGCAGGCCAGCCCTACAGGGGAGACGAGAACCGGGCGTCTATAAATAAACACCGATGGGGTACCTTCCATTGGTTGTGATCGTTGTCCTGTCTGCGACGTTAAAGAATTCTTGAGGACTGCGGGGGCCGTCCTTAAACGCCTCCTGATCAGCCAATTGGTCGGTGTAAGACTCGCTGCACGCGAGGATAAACAATGTGCAGGGCTGGCCAGCTCAGCATATACTCGGGGCACAGAGGCGGGCCGTGTGCGCACCTTTAGACACGCACGCTATGCTGGATCGCTCAGGGACGCTGACGTCAAGTGACCATCAAGAGGGATTGAGGGAGGGGTAGATTCCAGGTGATAAGTTCGTGGCAATTCCATTCTGCCAATATCCACACAAACGATTTTATTTTTGTTCATGATTAGTTAGATGGACTGCCATTGACATCTAACAGACAACAATAGTTAGATTTGCTCTCTGTTCGTGGATTAATCAAGTAAAAGTAGTTTCGTTTGTAGGAATTTGAACTTACCTGTTGAAACAAAATGTATATACTCCGACTTAGCCACCGATTGATTATTAAACCGGTTTGTGCACTACGTTGCGGTAGGCATCGAGTGTGACCTGGTGCAGTTTGTCTATAGTTCTGTAGCTTATGAGCGACAGGGAGACCACCAGCGAGGCACAGCTACAAAAGGCTTTAGGGGAGATAAAGGCGGAGAAAGAGAAGATGATTAGAAGAAGTGCCAGGATGCAGCACAGACAAGCGAATATTAATGAATTAGAGGTGATGGACCTGTCAGAGATGGATGATGATGTGAGGACCTTGAGGACGGTCGTGCTAGGTGTAGTAGAGATGCAGCGTTACAGGACATCCAGCACAACCTGGCCGTGTTGGTCGGGCGAGCTCAGGCGGCGCCATCAACATCAGGGCTTGGTGCCTGGCCCGTGATACAACCTCCTTTTGTCCCACCGGTGATTGGAGTATCCCCATACACCTTGCCAACATCGGTTTAAGCCGTTTTCCTAGGTATGCCGCTAACAGGAGGGTTCTCAGCAGGTCCTAGAGTGCGAGTTCCTGTACAGACAGTGTATTCCCAACCTCCGTAGCAGGTTGTCGTAACTGGGCAGCTTGTTGTCCCGCAGTCTGCACAATAGCAATTAGTGCAGCAGCCTACGCCCCAGGGTCCACAGCCCGGAGTGGGACAGGTGTCGGGGCAAGGTAAGTGGGTCCCAAAGACGGCCATCGCCTCGCCTAAACCTCTTTTGAGGGGATAAGAGGGGGAAAGACCTCGACACATGGTTGAGGTCAGTGCTAGTCTACGTCAAGTGCAAGTTGACCTTGCCGCGCAAGGAAGTGTTTGTGGCTGCCTCCTACCTTGAGGCGAGTGCAGCAAGATGGTTAAGCGGGCTAGTGCAACTGCAGGGGTACAGTCATGACTTCCGCGCTTGGGCAGTCAACCAGAAACTGGAGGACTTCCTTACGTTGGTGGAGGAAAGGTGGCATGATCCTCAAGAGGCCCAAAAGGCCACTGACGCGATCCTGACTCTGAGCAATAGACCGTTCAAGTCAGGTAGGGATGCCACAGACGTGGTAGAGCGTCTGATTTGTGTTCCTGGAGTTCGTTACGACTCCCAGGTCTTACTCACCACTTATCTAAGGTGTCTTCCTGTGCCCCTCAGAAATTAGTTGGCGGGTGAGGCAAACATCAATGTGCACAACTTTCCCTCGTTTAGCAAGAAGGCGCTAGACCTGGATGCAAAGATAGGGCATGGGCACCAACCCACTACGGATGGTAGAAAGAAAGCACCGCCTCCCAATTGGAAGGCGAAGGATCGTATTATGTTCGTCGATAACGACGGTTCCACCATCGAGTTGGATGATGACTTCCAGGAGGGAGTCGGTCAGAGGCGGGTTAAAAGGGGTGGAGCAGTCACTGCCTCAGTGCAAAAAGGCAAGGCGACCGGTAGACGCCGTGGAGGTTCCCGGTCAAGAGTCAAGTTGACCCTAACGCTTCTCCATGGGAGAAAATGGGTCTCACAGAGGACGTGTGGGGAGACTGGTACGCCAGGCAGGCCTGTATTCGTTGTGGTCAATATGGCCATAACCAGTTCAAGTGCCGCAACAAGAAGGTGACCGAGAAGATCCCGCCTACAATGGGGCAGGCGTTGGGATCCTCCGCTCCCGGAGGTAGCAAAAAAATTGTGGCCAGTAGTTCTGGCACTACTCCGGGAAACATGTCCGGCCAGTAGGAATAGTAGTTGTTCCTGTTGGGGGTCGAGGTGGTGGACACACCCTCACCATCTCGAGAGATGGCCCAAGTTAGTGACTCCATTACCGTCCCGCAAACACATTCGGATCCAGCGATCCTTTGTTCGCTGAATGTGTTCGAGTCCTTAGAGGAGTTATAGGAGTGGTCTAGATCGAGAGAAGGTTAACGGAGACCCTAATTTTTAGACCACTTGCCATTCCATTTATATGAAAACCAAAGGGTCATTTTAATCAAACTTGCCACCAATGCACGGCCTTGTCAAAAAGCTCCGCCGTTGTCCTCGACGTGAGTCAAGGCGTTGCCCAACGCCGGACACAACCTCGTGATGAAGTAGTGTTTGACGGCCTTGAAGCCCATCTGAACGTGTGACGAATGCCAACCGTTGGTACTCGGCAATCCAATCAACACTCGGCATCGTGCCTTGTTCGAAGGTCAGCAATTTGTCCATTGCCTTGATCTCCGGCGGCTCAACTTTGAACCTCTTATGCCACATCGCCTTTAGATCATCCCAGTTGATCTTGGTTTACAAGTCTGCAGCTACCACCTCGTACTTGGGCAAGAGATTGTCCAACCATGCTTGGCACGCGCCCCCCGATCAGGAATATAAGTACGTGTGTTTCTTGTCCTTGCTGACGTGACGTAGCTGCAACTTGAGTTCAAACTTGAGGAACCACGGAATTGGGTCTGTCTACGTCGAATCGCCGAAGATTTCTTGACTATCGAATTGTGGAGTCGTCTCGCATAGTGCCGAACTCAGGTTGGCGGCGGCAGCACTGATCCGCTGCTCCAGTTGTTACATGGCGGTTTGATGTAGCTGCGTGCCGTCCTTGAGGGCTCCAAGATAATGATTAATTCCAATATTACCACGTTGTAAGCCTCCTGAAGTTTATAAAGGCTTTTCCGACATGCTCTTGTCCTGTCGAATTCACAGTAAGTCGAATGTCCAGAGTGCAAAATTGATTGCACAGGTTCTTTCTTCTTGTTAGAGCCTTTCGTAATTAACTTCAGATAACCTAACGGTCACCAACATACTTGCTCGAGCAGGTCACGTGCCCGAAGTCGCTGGGGCCATGGAACCGCGAGGAAATTAACGAAACGGGAGGCGGCAAAGGACCGCAAGAAAATGGCAAAGGCAACCCTTCCCCCGAAAAAGGAGAAGGACCGCCGAAAAAAGTAAGGACGTGGGACGCGCGCCGCAAGGAGAAAGGAAGGGAGATGAGGTGCCGGCGCATGAAGACATAGCTCAAGCCAAAGGCGGCCACCGGGATGCGACGCCGAGAGGGCGAAGGGGGCCACAGGCCAAGTAAGGATCCACACCCGGGGAAGACGGTGCGCGAGACGTAAGAAAACACAAGGGGAGGAGGCCGCCATAAGGCGGAAAGACGACAGGAACATCGATGGGACCATACGACACCAATGGGTCAAGTACCGGGGACCACATGGGACCTAGCAAAGAGGCGGCACCAATGGGTCAAGTGCCGGGGACCACATGGGACCTAGCAGAGGTGCGACACCAATGGGTCAAGTACCGGGGACCACGTGGCACCAATGGGACCAGTGTCGGGGACCATGAGGGGCTAAGCAAAAAAAAAATAATGACGATACTAGCACGGGACCAGTGTCAGGGACCACGTGAGGCTAGGCGGAAAATGCGGTACCGGCGAGACAAGTACCGGCGGGACTAGTGTCGGGGACTACCGTCTTCACCCGAATAGAACGCCAGTCATCATAGCTGTATTTGGTGCAACTTTCAGTCTACATACAGTGATAATGACCAGGTGTTCTATTCGGGTGAAGACGGTAGTGCGGGACAAGTGGCGGGGACCTGTGACGTCCCAAGAAAAAAATGGCGGCATGGTATGCAGTGTTTAAAAAAAAAAAAAAAAAAAGTTGCACCGTCGGAGATCTTGACGGCCAAAATTATTAGCAACACTAGTGCAAGCACTAGTGGGAGCAAGCGGGAAGGCTAAAAGAAAAATAAAAAGTAAGAAAACAGGTAATAGGAGGCATGGGAGCAACCCGAAAAATCTCGGATTAGCCTCCCCCAAGAAAACGGGGCCAAGAGGACCCCACTTGAGAAAAACAGGCTCCCTGGGAAAAATCAGTGCATGAAGGCCTACCGTTTGGGAAAGAGAAAGGCTAATGGTGGCTCCCAAGGGCAAAGTAGGGCCACAACTGCAGTCGGCAAAATAACGGACTGGCCCTTGGGCATAGGAAGGGGCAAAACTAAGAGGAAGAGGCAAAAAAAGGGCCTTAACGGACACTTGGCATGCAAAAAGAAAAAGAAAAAGAAAAAGAAAAAGAAAATGTGGGAGAATAGGACAAGGAGAGTGAGAGGGAGTGAGTGAGTTGGCCGTCAGTAGGGACTGCAGCAAGTAGGGACTGCCAAGTCCCAACTGTCCAAGAAAGGAGGAAAAAGAAAAAGAAAATAAAAGAAAAATGAGAAAAGGGCCTTAACGGCTAGTTGACACTTGACATGCATAAAGAAAAAGAAAAGAAAAAGAAAATGGGAGGTGAGAGAGGATGAGTGAGGTGGCCGTCAGTTGGGACTGCATCAAGTAGGGAATCCCAAGTCCCAACTGCCAACATGTGGAAGAAAAGAAAAAGAAAGGGAAAAGAAAAAGAAAAGAGAAGAATAGAAAAATGGGGAAAGTCAAAAGGGCATTAACGGACGAAAACGGCCACCTAGGGAGGGCATTTTGGACCAGATTCACTTTGGGCATATAGCGGTTACAAAGGAACTTGATTTGCTTTGATTTATGCAAAGAAAATCAAAGAAAATCAAGGCCCCTTGCAACCGAAAATTAACGGATTGCATGGGGGAGGCCAAACACATGTTTTAGGTGCATCAGGAGCCAAAATGGAGACCGGATGCACTTGGTTTGGCCGTTTTGTTTTCTTTCAGTGAGGGGTTAATTGTGGGGCATTGGGATAATGGAAATAACCCCTACCGTAGTCCGAGTTTCAACGGACTGCATAGGGAGGGGCAAATACGAGTTTTTGGGGCTCCGGGAGCCAAAATTGAGCTCGGATGCCATTGGAAAATTAACGCTTCATTTTCCTTGGGCATGGGGCATGACGTGGGGCTGTGGGGCTAGAACATTGGTTGTGGCTGCAGTCCGAGAAATGGCGGACTGCATGGGGATGGCTAGGCCTGCAGGAAATAAGCCACGGCACGCCCAAAAGACTAGAAAACGGCGCCGCAGGCATAGGGGAGCATAACGGTAAATGGTGACGGCAAGGCGGGGGTCCCGCGGCCGGGAAAATAAACGGCACACTTGAGGCATATGGGAACAATGAAATGGGATTGTCGGGGACATGGGAAGTCCCAAATTAAAATTGGGCAGCAACCGGGATGACGCCGGGGGCCAAATGGGCCCAAAATAAAAATTGTCGAAAATCGGGCGTTACCGATGGCACCGCCGACGGGGTGGAAAAATGGAACTAGCACGGGGAAATGGCGGGGACTTGAGGTGTCCCAAGGGAAAACACTAGCCAAGGTGGGGAGTGGACGTGCAAGGCAAACGGCACCGCCGAGATCGAAGATCTCGATGGTGGAGAATATTAGCACCACTAGTGCAAGCACTAATGGGGCTCAAACGGGTGAAGCGGGAGTGAAAAGCAAAGCAAGATGAGGGCTGCCCAGCAGTCCGAGATATCTCGGACTAGCTAGACATGGGAAAACAAAAGCCCAAGGGGCTTCCTACAAGGAAAAGGCTGTCCTTAGAAAATTGGAGCCAAGGGGGCTCAAAATTGAGCAAACGGGAGCAAATTGGAGCACCCTATGAGCATGGGGGTGACATCATTGTGATCTGGGGTTTAACGGCCAACAACCGGCCATGAACCTGGCGTTGAAAAAGGCTCTAGAGCCTAGAAAGAGAGAACACAACAATTTGATACTTGTCGCAACAAAAAGAAAAGAAAAAGAAAAGAAAAGGGAGAGAAAATGGAGGGAGAATGAGACAAAAAGGGAGAAATGGGTGGAGGAGAATATGTCGGCCCATTGGGATTGCTGCAGTAGGGACTGCCAGGTCCCAATGATGACCTCATCCCTCGTAGATCCAAGGAGGATAGGCCGGATTGCTGAGATAGGGGCCATATCTCGACAATATCTGAATTAAAGAGGGCAAAAAAAAAAAAAAAGCAAAAGGGGGAAATGTGGTTTTCTTTTGAGCCATGGATCTGAGATCAGATCTCATGGTGGAAGGAAAACAGCCGTTTTTTGTGGGCCAGCACAAAACGGTTAGATCCGGAATGAGGTGGCAGCCAAAAATGGAAAGAAACAAAAGAAGGAAGAAGACGAAACAGTGCATTTGGCCCAAAAAGAGAGCTAGATGCACCAAAAATTGAAAAATTGAGCCTATAGGCTCAAAATTGACCCAAGGACCACCATGGGGTAGCTCGGAATATTGGTGGCCTTGGATTTCAGCCTGATCCAAGGCTGAAAATATGCCGCCACTTGGAAAAATGGTCCGGCCTACCCAAGGGAGGCCGAAACTCCCATATAGGCTACCCCGTGGACCTTGGATTCAAGGGGGCAGCATTTTCCAAAGGGTTGGAGGTCTGGAAAAAGGCCCAAGGGGCAGGTCGAGTTGGTACCAACCACTCGGACTGCGTGAACCTCGCCAACAAGAGGCCCAGGTGCCCCCGAAGAGGCCTAGAGGTGAAAATTGGCCTTGGGGGTACCTCGGTTCTCTATGGGGCACTTGAGGAGGCCCATGGGCTGGCCAGACTACTGTTCCCATCCTATATAAGTTGGGGATTCAGTCCGCCACACTCACATTTGCATGAGGAGTGCCCATGCTGCCCGAATGAGCCTGTGAGAGCTTTAGAGCTACTTGGAGAGGAGTGAGGGGAACCGCTACCAGTCTGGGAGTGTAGAGGAGGTTGTGAGCTAGTGAGGTGGACTCTACAAGCTAGTGGTAGTGGAAGGAGGTGATCCGCCATAGCTCCCACGCTAGTGAGGTAGAAGGCAAGGCTGAGAGGGGTCCCATTAGCCCTCCTAGAGGGGAGGACTCCCTAGCCTTAGTAATAGGAGCATGTGGCAACTTGGGGAGAAAAGAGAGAGAAAGGCTTGAAGGAGAAGGGAGCCACAGCCAAGAGGAAGGAAGCTTCGATGAGAGTTGAAGACATCCAAGGGGTGAGTGGAGAGGCACCTCCCCTTCTCCTCCCTTCTCTTCTTCCTCCTCTCCCTCTCTTCCTCCTTCCCTTCTTCTTTTCCTTCTCCTTCTTCTCCTTCCTCTTCTTCTTCTTCCTCCTCTTCTTCTTCTTCTTCTTCTTCCTCTCCTTCTCTATCTTCTTCCCCTTCCTCCCCCTCTTCCTATCCCCCTTCTTTCTCCCCCCTCTTCTCTCCATCTTCCTCCTTTCCTCCTCCTTGTGTATGTGAGTCTATGTGAGTGATTCTCTCTCCTTCTCGCCACTTTTCACTTGTTTTTCTACTTGGGTGTGAATCGCAACTCCTATGTTGATGTCAACTAGTGTTTGAGTGATGTGAAGTGCATGTTTTGTCTATTTCTTCAC